GAGGGAGCCAGGCCGGTACCTGGGCCTTGGACTCTGTTCCTGGGACTGTGAGGGAATCAGTTCTGCTGTCTGAAGCGGCCTGCTCTGGTCCTGTGTTACGGCAGCACTGGGCACAAAGATGGGAGGACCTTGTGACTGGGACTGGGGCAGTCACAGGCCCAGCAGGCTGGTGAGCCAGTGCCTGGCAGGTGGGGAGGACGTGGTGTGAGATGCGGCCTGTGGGCCAGCCAGTGAGCTCCAGCACGGGGCCTGGTTGCCGGACAGCAGTGAACGGTGAACGGTGATTCCTCTAGAAGCCCTCCTTGTGTCGGGGCGGGAAGCCGGGCCCCGCTCGGGAACGGGCCGCTGCTGTGAGGGAGAGTGCCTGCTGTGCAGTGGGTGTCAAATGAATGTTAATAAACAAAAGAGCCAATTATCCTTCATTGCAGACACATTTCTTTGCAGAAAATTTAGGAAATACAAGAAGCAAATAAAAATCAAAACCACCCAAGAACGTAACAGCTATGATGTGCTTTCTTCCTAATCCTCAAAGCAAAGCTTCGGAGCCCGTATTATTTCTTCCTTGTTTGAATTAAACACAGTTCAGAAGGAGAAAGTAATTTCCCCAAAGCTGCCCAGCGAGGAGAGGGCGCCCAGGTGTGTCTGCTGCTGCCCCTCTCTGCAGACCCCAGAGCTGTCCCTGCAGCCCCCTCAGAGGGGCCCCCACCCTGGAGTCTGCCCTTCACCTTCCCCTTGCTTCGACCAGAGCTAAACTTGCCTGTGATGAAGATGGGGTGCTTGGGAGACGCCCACGCTCTGTGTGGTTGGGCCCCTGGTCAACACCAGCCTGGCCTGCACCCCTGCTGGGGCCCTTCAAGGCTGCCCCGCCCTGGGGACAGACCCCCCCCTGCACGCTGCTTCCTGTGGGACCCACTCTTGAAGTCGGTCTGAGCCATAAATGAGACTCATCAGGCGATGGGCATGTTTATTAGAGGCAAAATTAAATTTGGGCGCCCATGATCTCTATCAAGAGCAAAGAAAGGAGAAGAATGATGTGTTTGTTCACTGCTTCCACCAGGAGTGCCTGCTCCCGTAACGGCCGCTCTGAGCCCCGGTCATCGGGCTGGGGGAGTGCCTGCTCCTGTAACGGCTGCTCTGAGCCCCGGTCATCGGGCTGGGGGAGTGCCTGCTCCCGTAACGGCCGCTCTGAGCCCCGGTCATCGGGCTGGGGGAGTGCCTGCTCCCGTAACGGCTGCTCTGAGCCCCGGTCATCGGGCTGGGGGAGTGCCTGCTCCCGTAACGGCCGCTCCGAGCCCTGCCTGTCGGGTGCCAATGAACCGTGTCAAACAGACGACATGGATTTTTCTGAATCTGCTGCAGAGCCAGATTTTAATTGAATCAATGTGAGAAGCAGGCCTGCTATTAAGTTTTATTAAATTCTATTTGTTCGTATCCTTGCCATTTAGAACATGACTGTTTAAAAAGAAAAAAATACTGGGCAGCCAGGCAGGGTGGAAGGTCGCAGGTTTGGGGTCACATGGATCTGGGTGGGACCCCCGGGTTTGCCTGTGTGACGGTGTGTCGTGCAGAGTCGTTTTATTCCTCCCAGCCTCTGTTTCTCCTTAATGGGCACAGGAGTGCTCAGTGCTACCTAAGGTATTTGAAGAAATAAATGGGATTAAAATTTCACCCTTATTTAAACATCTTCCTCCCTCCCTCCTCCTCCTCCATCCTTCCTCCTCCCTCCTCCTCCTCCTCCTCCTCTTAGGAGAAGAGAATGGCCACAGTTTTTCTGAAGATCTGGGACAGGAACTGGCATTTCCGTAGACCTTGCTCTGAAAGGGATCTCTTGTGCGTCCTGTCGGTCGCGTCCGTCGGACTGTGGAGGTGCCCTGTGTCTCAGTCGCGTCCGTCGGACTGGGGAGATGCTCTGCGTCTGGGGGTCTTGGGAGAGTGAGTTGGGGGTGTGCTGGCCAGTGTCTGACACCAACTCTTGGAAGCACAGCCGTGGCGTGTCGCGTCGCCAGCTGTGGTGTCTGTCTGTTCACCATGGACCATTTCAGGTGACCAGCCCGCCGTCTCTGAGCTTGGAGTTGGCTGCTGCAGGCCCCCCGCCAACCGCCAGACCCCGAGCTCCCAGGCCCTGCAGCCCGTGGGTGTGGGTAGGGGTTTCGGCAGTTGTGAGCCTGGGCCGACTCATCGTCCCCTGGTCAGAGCCTCGGTTCTTCCCTCACTTGGGCAATCGGTCCTCCATATTAAATCCCCTTTGTTTGACTGGTTGGATCCCACCTGATACAATTGGGGTGACCCCAACCAAGGACCCATGGTTACGAAACAGGACAGAGAAGTCCATGAGGAGGAGTGATTGTGCCTTACAGGAAGGGACGTGTCCACACGTGTCAAAGGGTTTAGGGGATCACAGTGGCTTTGGCACAGCCCACGGACGGCACAGCCCACGGACGGCGCTGACCTTTTCCTGAGCCCAGGGACTGTGCTGGGGTCAGGGCAAGTGCATATCTCCGTCCGTTTGGCATTTTGCTCTGTATATAAAGGAACATCTGAGACGGGGTAATTCATGAAGAAAAGGGGTGTAATTGGCCCACAGGCCTGCAGGAAGCCTGGCACTAGCATCTGCTTCTGGGAAGGCCTCAGGGAGCTTCTACTCGGAGCAGAGGGGACGTGGTGAGGGAGGGAGCAGGGAGGGTGGTGCCAGGACCATTCTAACAACCAGCTCCCTTGGGAACTACTAGAGTCAGTTACCATGAGGACAGCACTGGACTGTTCATGAGGGATCCACCCAAACACCTCCCAGCAGGCACCACCTCCATGTTGGTCAAATTTCAACCTGAAATTTGGAGGGGACAAGCATCCGATCTACATCAGCATGTCACTGCGACTTAAACAGGTATGGCTGCTCCCCACGTGGGGCACCCTGTGAGGCAGGCGTGAGTCTAGGCCAGCAAGGATGTCCTGGTGGCCACGGCCAAGTGTTGGCCACGCAGCTGCGCAGGGACCGTCTTCAACAGTGACACTGTGTGGCAGCAGGTGCAGCAGCAGCAGCAGCAGCAGACGTTGGGACGTCTCCAGCTCTGGCCCACCCGTGTGAGGGTGGGGAGCTCTTTAGATTAAATGATCTTTAGGATCCATGGGCACTTTCTCCGGAACAGGGGCAGGTCTCGAGAGGCGTGTGACCACTGAAGCAGGTAAGAACAGAGGGGAATAGTCAGGGAAATAAGGATGCTTGGAGGTGTCTTTGGTGAAGCAGAGTGTTCACCACGTCGAGGTCATGCCTGTGAAGAGTCTCCTGTCCGGAGAGCGTGGACAGTGCCTCACCTCCGCCGCCCTGCAGGGACCTGCCTCCCCAGACGCTCCCCTTGGGACTTCTCCTGGTGCCAGGGAGGAGGGGCTGGGCCAGGTGAGGTGGGGCCGCCTTAGGCTTTCGTCAGCAGGAGGAATGCTCACTTCTCTGGAGGGCGGGAGTTCTACTGAGGATTCCAGAGTAATTTTCCAGGCGTCAGGTTTTACGTGGGATCCTGTGTGGGCTACGAACAAGCCAGTTTTGACTTGCCTGTCAATTTGCCTAATGAATTGGAGTGTGAGCGAGCCAAGTTTGCACCTGCCATCCTCTTGGTCTAAACTACAGGCACTGCGCGTTGCAAGCTAAGGGACTCTGCACATCCTGACTTCGCCTGGGAAACTTCTGGAGTCCCGTGAGTCTGGCTGGGGGTCGGCGGTGGGGAGGGAGGTCCCTGGCAAGCCACTGACTTTTGGGGCCCCACTCACTGCCCGTGTTTTGCCACAGAGTTTTGGCAAGGTCTGGACTAGCAGAGGGCTGAGGCTGGGGCTGGGAGAATTCTCTGCTGAGAACAGAGGAACTGGGACCCCTCAGGGCTTCTTACAGGAACAGGAACAGCAACCGGGGAGTCCCAGAGGAAGGGGTTGAGCAGAGGGGCCGTGTGGTGGGTGGGCACCCCAGCGGCAGGGTGCTGCGGGAGAAACACGCCACCCCGGGCTTTGGAAAGAGCAGTGAAGCGCGGCCCCACCGCGTCCCCCAGGGCTAGTGGACGTGAAGTGTCCCTGCAGGCTGAACTCTGACTGGTGACAACAGGTCAGCGTCCGCACTCCCTGGAGACTCGGAGCCTGGACTTGCCAAATTTGGTACCTGCCTATCGTTTTATTTCTTTGAGATGGAGTCTCTCTCTGTGGCCCAGGCTGGAGTGCTGTGGGGTGATTTTGGCTCACTGCAGCCTCCACCTCCCGGGTTCAAGCTATTCTCCTGCCTCAGCCTCCAGAGTAGCTGGGATTACAGGTGCACTCACCACGCCTGGCTAATTTTTGTATTTTTAGTAGAGATGGGATTTCACCGTGTTAGCCGGGATGGTCTCGAATTCCTGACCTCAGTTGATCCACCCACCTCAGCCTCCCAAAGTGCTGGGATTATAGGCGTGAGCCACCGTGCCGGGCCTGTTTTTTTTTTTAATTTTAGATTCACGGATACATGTGTGGGTTTGTTATGTGGGTATATAGTGTGATGCTGAGGTTTTGGCTTCTAACGATCCCTTCACCCAGGGAGTGGACGCGGTTCTCGACAGGTGGGTTTTCCAGCCCTCGTCCTCCTCCCACCCGCCCCTCTGGAGTCCCCGGGTTTTCCAGCCCTCGTCCTCCTCCCACCCGCCCCTCTGGAGTCCCTGGCGTCTGCTGTTCCCTCTCTGTGTCGTGTGCACACAGCGTTCAGCTCCCGTGAATAAGAACACGTGGTTTGGTTTTCTGTTCGGGTGAGTTCTCAGGCCGACGGCCTCCAGCTGCCATGTGCGGCTACAGGGGACGTGCTCTCCTCCATTATTCTGGCTGTGTTGAGTTCATGGTCTGTCTGCACACGTGAGGCCGCCTGTCGGGTCACATCCCAGCACGGGCGTCAGCCAGAGTCCACGTCTGCGGCTTTGTGAGTTACGCGGCCATGGCTCAACTCTGCGCTGACAGCCCCACAGCGGTGGCCACAGACAATAGTAAGCAAATGGGCATGGCTGGGCGCCAATAAAACTGTATTAAAACAGGCGAGGGGCTGGGCTGTGGCAGGGCCCAGGCCCCACCCCCCAGCTCAGCTCCAAGGAAGACACACACAGCGCTGCTGCCTAATCCTCTTTATTTGGTCTCTGCTGAGGCAGTCGCACCAGCCTCCTAGACACAGCTGCAGGTTTGTCGCCGTCCGTGTCCCCCAGCACCCCTCTTACCAGACCATGAGGAGCTGCGTTGTGAGGTGTGAACTTAGGTCTCGGTTGGAGGGCTGAGCGGTTGCAAGGGCTGGGGGAGGCTGCTTGGAGCATGGGAGGCCACGGGTGGAGGACGCCGGGGCGCCGCCTGGCGTGTGGTCTGGGGCTTGGCCACCCTGTGGGGCGTAGGGGGCTGTGGTACATGCAGAGGCGGCGGCCGTCCCGGCAGCCTGGCCAGGAGATACCGTGGAGAAGGCACGTGTTTGAGTCGGCGTCACTGTCCCCAGACACCCTCCCTTGGGTAGAGCCGCCTGTCCTAGGAGGAGCTGTACTCCAGCTGCAGTGGCTGACACCCTGGTCACTCAGCCACACCCCAGCCCCTTGGCCTCTGCTGTCCTGGCCGCACATAGAGCCCTGCCCTGCTGTGTCTGCTGGGCATACCCCGGCCACTCAGCGACACTGGCTTGGCCCAGCGCCTTCCCGAGGTCCGTGGGGGTCTAGGCAGAGGCGGGGTCAGTGCCGTGCGTGTTTGATCCAGTTTCTGATCATCCACTTCTGCCCCGAGCACCTCTGCACCACCAGCCGGAGCCCGAAGTTGGCGTCTTTGGACATCTCCACCTCCAGGCAGCGGCCCGTGGCCCGGCTCACAATGGGGCCACTCTGTGGGGACAGTCACACCAAGTCAGCCGGGGTCAGACGTCCTCGTCCCCCACCCCCACCCCCACCCCAGGGAGGCTGCTTCGTGCTCTCAGCCCTCGTGCTCATTCTTGGGGCAGTTCGAATGGAAACTCAGCATCACAGCAGCACCCGGGGACCAGGAAGGGGCTGACGTCAGTGGAGCTTTGAGGATCTCCCATCGTTCCTGCAGAGCAGCCCAGGTTGGAATCACACCTCATCCCCTCCCTAAATCCTGCCTCTACCCTGGGCACCTGAGGCTGGAAGAGGCAGATGCAGGGCTATGATCAGACTGTCCAGCCCGGCCCCTCTCTGGCTGTGTGACCCTGGCCAGTCACCTGCCCTCTCTGCGAGCATCGGGGCCCTCGAGGGAGCAGCTGATCCAAGGCCCCGTCCCCTGACCACCCACTGCGGCACTCCAGCTCCCACCTAGAGGGCTGGTTCTACTGGCAGAGGCGCCCAGGGGTCCCAGCGGCCCTGTCCCAACCCCACGGCCCCCTTTCCCCAATGGCTGACCTGGGTGAAGTCCCACAGCCGCTGTGTGGGCCTTGCCACATCCTCACACTTCCTCAGGGTGGGCGTGCGGCCCCTGCCGTCATCCACCAGACACTTGGAGTCGGGCAAGAAGGCTGTGGAGCCCAGAGGCCCCAGCTGCAGCAGGCCGTCAGCGCTGTACCGCACCAGCTGGGGACAGGACCACCGGGGCTGTGTGTGAGCAGCGTCCAGGCCCGGGGGAGCCATGGCCCGTGCTCCAGCCCAGGCTCTCCCTGGTAAGCACAGAAAGGCTGTGCGAGCTGCCGCGAGCTGCAAACGGGGCCCTGAGCGGCTGCCTTGGAGCCTCCCACCCTGGGGACACTGTTGTGGGTGGGAGAGGCCTGCTGGGCAGGGCCCATGTGGGGATGTGGCTGGACAGCGCCCAGAAGCTCCGCCGGGCCAGGCTCCCGACAGACGTCATGAACGGGGCTCAGACTCAGAGCGTGGCCCCACTCGTTTCAGGGAGGACAGGAGTCGGGTTTACTTTGGGTGACATGCAGAGCTCACTGAAAAGCGCCGTGTGTGAGCGGAACCCGCATTCCCGTGGGGCTAGAAATGCCCAGCTCTTTATGGAGGTTGTGGTCAGAATGGCTCGGACCTTCACTATGGCCAGTCCCTGACCGCCAATTCCACGGGGCTGGGCCCGCAGTGCAGGGGAGTCCCGCCCAGGGGGGGATGGTTTCGCCACACTGCCCAGACTGGTCTCAATTCCTGGGCTTACGTGATCAAGCAGACTCTGGCTTGGCCGCCCATCATGCTGGGATGACAGGTGTGAGCCGCTGCGCCCGACCCAGGCTGTTTTCAGTGCACCACGTTCTGCTGCCTTCCAGGTGGGGCAGGCTGGGAGGCCTCTTCTAGAGGGGCCCTCAGGCTGCTCCAAGCCCTGGGATGCAGCCCTGGTGGCATCAGAACACCCCAGCAGGCTGGCCCCGTGCCTCTGCCCCAGGGTGTGGGGTCTGGGGTGCTCCCCTTGGGAGCTCCGTGGGTGGCTGCTACTCCTACCTGGGAGGACATCCCGTGGCAAGGGTAGAGGATCGCCCGGTCGCCGTCCTCCGCTCCCTGGTCCAGGCAGTAGCCGCTGGCTTTGCTGTTTCTCACCTGCAACCAGAAGCCCCAGAGAACGTCCAGGGTCACCTGAGGGTGGAGCCCCACAGAGCTTCGCGCAGCCAGCACCTGAGCAGGTGCTCCCCGGAGGAGGGGGGCTTGTGGAGGGCCCGGGTGGGTGGGCTGCCTGCGAAGGGACTTGCTGGACCTCCCGGGAACGGGCGGCCGACCGAGTTTGTCACTGATGGAGACATGGACGTATCTGCCATGCACAGTTGGAGACGTGGCCATCGGTCAATAGGGGAGGCTTGAGGACGGCGGTGTCAGTCTTTCTCAGCAGCACGGATGGAGGCCCTAAGCCGGGGGTGGCTTCCCTGCCTTGCCGCCTGCTCCCTGCACCCTTGCAGCTCCCACTGAGTGGGCAGAGACCGCTCGCCGGCCTTGGAGTCTGGGCTGGCCTTGGCTTGGATCCTTGGGAGACCTTCCAGCTTCCACTCCATCTGGGAAGGAATCCTGACACCACTCTGAGAACAAACCTGGGCCAGCCTGCTGGGCTGTGAGTTGTCATCGGGCAGCCAACCTCCAGCCACCAGAACGGGCCCATCCGAGATCAGCACAGCCTGGCCCGGGCCAGCAGCACTGCCCAGGTGGCCCTGGCTTGTGAGCGAGGGTAGACGCTTATTGCTTTTGTCCACTGCGTTTCCAGGCTGCTGGGTTTGCGGCGGCAGCTAACCCCTCCATCATGGCCACCGCAAGAGGGCACACAGGTTTGAACTGGGACCGCTGAGAATGTTGACTACAAATTAGAAACGCCCAGCTGCTCTGGGTGGGCGGTGCCTGAGCTTGGCTGATGGAGGGTGGAGTGGGCAGAGCAGAAGCACAGGGAGGCTGGGGGACGGGGCGGCACACCGATGCACTCTCAGCGCTGCCTGGGACACCTCTGTGCCCAAGGGACTGAAGTCAGCACGGCGTGGACCAGGAGCTGAGGGAGGGGAGGCTCAGCGAGGAACATCCACCCCAGGGACCCTTCTCCTTGCCCCATCCAAATGCCAGCTCAGGGCTGGGACACTCGAGTCCCATGGTGGGAGGCACCCTGTCCCCTGCATAGACCAGGGGGAGGGCAGAAGAGCAGCACCTTCTTGCTGGCTTTACAGAGCGCAGTGCAGGTGGGGGCCGGCAGAGACGGGGCCTCTGTGTAGCTGATGTGCCTGTATGAGTGTGGGCGTGCATATCACCCATCGTGTGCGTCTGTGTGGGCACCTGCATGCACACGTGGTGTGGGGCTCTGCATATGTGGATGCAGATGTGTACACACACACGCACATTATTGCACCTTGATAAGTGCTTGTATATCTGTGCACACGCAGGCCCCTTTGGGGTTCATGCACTTAGTGAAACATACATTTGTGTATGAAGAGCTCTGTGTCTATGAGCAAAACTGTGCAGATGTATACACTCGTGTCCACGTGCACTTGTACATATGTTTGCATGGATTTGCGTACATGCCTGTGAATGTGTCCCTGTACATACGTCTAGGTGAGTGCATGCATGCCTGTGTGCACATACATGTGAGTGCATACATCTGAATCAGGCATGTGAACACGTGTATGCATGGATGTGACTACATGTCTGCCTCTAGGCAGGTCGCTGTGAAGGAATGGGTGTGTATGGACATGTGTGTCTGCAGGTGCATGTGTTCATGTGAACCTGCACCTTGTGTGTGCACGCGGATGTGCCTGCCTCCCCCTGAATGCACACGTGTGTGCGGGCGTCGGGGCAGAAGGCCTGGCGGGCTGCGGGGCCCTCGGGGGAGGCGCTACCTCTCCGTACGTGAGGGTGTTGTTGTAGATCCTCATCTCCGGGTACACGTTCTCCAGGTACCACTTGAAGCTGCGGCACTTCAGCCTCTGGCGCAGGGCCAGCCTCTCAGACACGTCCCCGAAGTCCACCCCTGGGTTCTGCAAGGCCGGAAGTAGGTGGGAGGGCACGAGTGTCACTGTCCCCCTGATGAGGTTGGGGGGGCTCCAGGGACTGAGTCCCCTCACAGGAGCAGCCTCCCCCAGGTGGGACCCCCCAGCCTCCCACTATCCACAGAGGGTCTGAGGCAGCTGCTCCTGAGGGGAAGGGCCCTGCTGAAGACCAGCCCCGGCCTGGACAGATGGCCCCTGCTGCAGCCGGCTAGTCCGCACCCACCTGGGCCCAGGAACCTCCTGCCTGAGAGGACGGCCCTGCTCACCTGGCGTGACCACTGGAGGGTGGAGACCAAGGTCAGCCATGTCTACGAGGCCAGGCCGGTGAGGACCCTGGACACCAAGGCTCGGGGGCTCCTGGCTGGCCCCGCCTGGCGCGTGTTGTCACGCATGGGTGCTGGAGAATCAAGTCCATGGGACCCCCCGGGAGGGGACACCTGGGAGCTCGCGCCTGGTCTCTCCTGGGCCTGGCCTGGGCATCTCTTCCCTCTGCCGTGAGAACCCACAGCCGAGTGTGGGGTCTGTGTCTTCCTGGGATTGTGAGGCCTGAGGGGCTGTGGGACCAGCACTCTCTGATGGCCAGCCAGCCCTGAGGGAGCACCTGCCTCCTGCCCAGGGACCCTCCAGGCTCAGGCCTTGTGAGGAGGGCAGACGACTTGGCCTGCGGGGCTTGGGCTTGAATCCTGTCACCTTCTGGTGTGTGGCCCTGGGACAGTCCCTTACCCTCTCTGTGCCTCAGTTTCTCATTGGTAAAGTGGGGCGATCACACCAGAAACTCGTTGCTTTGTTATGAGGCTTTGATTAGTCAAGGGGCTCACGCCGGGGCCCTTGGACACAGGGAGGTGACAGCCATTTGCCGGCCTCACTGCCTGGGGGCCTGGAGCCCCTCACTCAGTTGCCCACACACTTGGGGACATCGTCACCCTGCACGTTTTCCAAATCACTTCATGGAAAACAAGGCTGTAGGAGCACCGGGTACCCTCTTCTCATCTCTCAGACACAAGTGCACGTGTCCACAGACTCCTGACCTGCCTGACGGAAGCTGCCGTGGGAGCTGATCTGGGGGTGGGATGCTGGGTTTGCACGGTGAATGGTCCAGCCTGGGTCCCCTCCAGGCCGTGTCACCCACACGCTAGGGTGCAGTCCAGCAGGGGGTGGTGAACCAATTTAGGGGCTGTAGTGGAATTTTTAAGAAGTAGTATATTGTGAATGAGAAGGATGACTGGTACTGTGGATGCAAAGTGCTGTATGTGGACGGATGTAAATATACACGCGTGTGTGCACACTGGGTCATGACTTAAGATCTGGTTCTTACTGGGGTTGATGCAAAAAACAAGGCTGTTTCTAAGATGAGTCCTCCCAGAACTCAGGGACCCACGGCCTGCAGTGGCCAGGGAAGGAAGGGGGTGGTTCCCAGAGACGCTGGTGGGTGGCGGGATGGGCGGAGGGTCACGACCTCCTGTCTCAGCACCTGCCCTTCTTAGGCTTGTGGGGCTGGGGCGCTTTGAGAAGAGCCAGAATTCAGGCTCTTTATGGGAAATTGGTCGACTACAAATTAGAAAACAAACAGCAATCCTCGACTTGAAGCAGGTCAGCCACTCACAGGCCAAAACCCAACAGGAAACAGCCAAAACATCCATCCACGAAGGAGGATCCACACGACCGGACCGTTCACACCGTGGACGTGACTTAGCCACGGCGGGGGTGACCTGGAAAATGTGGTGCTGAGGGCGGGAAGCCACACAGTGTATGAGCCGTTCACGAAACAGCCAGACATTTGAGGCTGCCCAGGGCTGGGGGAGGGGGCCGCGCTGGGTGCTAAGTGGGGCCCTGGCTGAGGCAGCGGCACCAGGTTGGGGAGAGGCCGCCCCTCCCTGGCTTCTAACCACCAGCAGTTGAGAGAAAAACGTCCACCACAACAGGTTTGGTGTGAGCTGGTCTCTTCCCAGTGTGAGGAAGGCTCCTTCGCAGGCAGACAGCTCACCCACTCACACCCACTCACACCCACTCACACTGCACGGGGCCTCCCTGCGCCCAGCCCTACCATGACGTTGACCCCGACCCTGGGGCGTGGCCCCGGCTCCCGGCCGTGGGGGACTCACCGTCATGGGGATGTTCCAGGCCATGTACACGTGGGACTTGAAGTCGTCCATCCACACCTCGGCGGCGCGCAGGGCATTGCGCTTGGCATAGTAGTCGATGTCGTTGTTGTAGGGCTTCCTGGTGCGCTCGATGTGGGCCACGCGGGAGCAGGGCAGCACCTCCATGCTGCCACCACACTGCCACACCTACAGGGAGATGGCGCTGGGTGCGGGCGGCCTTCCCGACAGGCGGGCAGCCCAGCCAGCCAGGGGCCTGTGAGAGGCCGAGGGGCCCGGCCCTCCGTTCCCGGGGCACCTGCAGGCCTGGTGGGCCCCAGGGCTTTGCCTTCTGGGGGCTGTTTTCAGGGGACCCCGCCCACAGAGAAGGTGCAGGTCTGGGCTGTGTCTGGTGCAGGCTCCTCTTTCTCTTGTACGTTACACGACGGCCGTGGGGGCTGGTGGGGCAGTTATTCCACCGACCTGAACACTTAACAGGTTTTTCATCCTGTGGTTCCCACCCCCAGTGCTTGTTCTGTGCAGGGAACCCCCCGCCCCACTGCACCACCCACCTCCCCCAGCACCCGAACACACCAACAATCTGTTTACAAACAGCCGCTTGCTGTGCAGATGCCGCTCCACACATGCCCAGAACACACGCAGCCTGGGTCTGAACAACAGCCCAGCAAATAAACGCCCGCAGCCCCGGCTTTCCGACCCCCACACAGTAGAGATGTATCTGTCACTACGTATCCTCGTGTGCTTCCGTGTTGTTTCACTGAACACTGGCCTGTCCCGCCGCGCTGTCCTGCCTGTGAGGGTTTGTTTTGTGTCAACGTGGCAGAGGACAGAGCTCCGGGACATTTGCTCTCCCCTTATTCTGGGTGGTCTGTGCATGGCCTCTGGTGGGAGTCGTGTTTAAATCTGTCCCCTGCAGGCCTGAGTAGGACAGAAAGGCTGAGGAAGGGAGTGTTCACACTCTGCTTGATTCGGGCTGGGACGTGGGTCCTCTCCTGCCTTCAGGCTTGGAACTCACGCCACCGGCTCCCCTGGGCACCTGCCAGCCGACAGCCAGTCTCGGTATTCTCAGCCTCCATAACCGTGAGTCAATTCTTTAGATGAACATCCACATCTAAACCCTGGAGAGCCCTGAGCCAGCCCCTGTCCCATCCCATCCACCCCATAAAAAAATGCTGGTGCCTCCCACAGGCTGACGTCACTATGAACAAAGGGGTCTGATCCACGTGGCCCAAGCTCTGCTGTGCTCAGGTCCTCAGCCCTGAGCCTCCCGTGCTGGACGTGTGTGCCAGGCCCCAGGCGGGCACTGTGCTTGCCTCATCTCCTGAATCTCCCCCCACCACCCGAGAAAGGGTGGGCAGCCCTGGCATTGCCCGTTCCCTCCGCGGTGCTGAGAAGGTGCCGAGGGCAGGCCAGCTGTGGGGGTGCACAGGGCGGAGCCTCTGCCCAGCGGAGCTTGGATCCCTCAGTCGTCCCTGGACTCTGGTTCATCCTGGTCCAGGCTGCTCTCATCTCCAGGCCGTTATCTTAATCACGTCTGCAAAGACCCCTTTTCCCAAAGAGGGCCACCCTCACAGGGCCCCCAGCTGCATCCTCGGGGGCCGCCTGTCAGCCCACCCCAGAGCCCCAGTCCCTCGTGTGAGGAGCAGGGGGCTCCTCCCTCCCTGTGACTCTCTGCCTTCAGGAAGCCAAGTCCCAGGTGGGAGAGAGAACCGGGAGTCCATGTCGCTGATCATTTACGGCCTCTCCCACACCACCCGCCGCAGGACAGACCCAGACGCGCTCCCTCCTCGAGGAGATGATTACACAGCACGCGGCTAACGCCAGTCCCTCTGCCCCAGTCCGGCGACCCAGAGCCTCCTCGCTGCTCAGCCCGGCCCGGGACACCCCACGCCGTAGTCCCACATCACCCACAGGGCTCCGGCTCCTTCCCCAGGACGGTGGAGTCTGTGCTGCTGCGCCCGGCTGAGGTTGGCCTCTGCGTCCCGAGGGAGTGAACCGCGTTTCTGCATCAGGTTCACGTCCTGGCAGGAGGGTGCCCTGGGAGCGTCGTGGTTTCTGGGTTCTGTCTGTTGTCTCTGCTGTGGGACAGCCTGTCTGAGAAAAGCTGGCCTGGAGCTGCTGGGAGCTCAGCCTGGGGTTTTCCAGGCACCTGAGCCGGGGCTTCCTTTCTGCCTTCGAGACCAGCATTGGGATTTCTGTTCGCGGCGGGAAGGGGCCTTGCTGGTGAACCCCGTACGCCGCCCTCCCACTCTGCCGATGTCTCCACCTCAACCTGAGACCACCCAGGTTTCACGAGAAGGACGGGGTGGGGGCCCACGGGGGAAAGAGCCTCGGAGCCGCCCTTCACCGGAAGGGGTCAGAACGGAGGAAGCTCCACAAGGGTGAGACAGAGCCTCGTCCTCCATCATCCACCCGCCCGTCTTCAGGAGCACCTGGCACACTGGCCTCTGGGGCGGCCTCCAGCAGCTTCAACCTCCCTGTGTACCCCCAGCACTGAGGCCACAGACTTGGTCCCCCCACCCACCACAGCATCCTGTCCTCAGGCCTCACCCCGGGGAACACGAAGCCCCCCAGGGGCTCCTGACACCTGCCTTGCCCACCCCCTGTGTTCAAAGCACCGTGGCCTTCCCAGCACCCCCACACGCACCCCTCAGGGCCTTGGCACAGGCGGTGCCCATGCCGGGCGTCCTTCCCAGGTCTCTGCATGCTCTGCTGCCTCCGGCCTTCAAAGCTCCAATGCCAGAGAGATTAAAGGCACGAAACCGGCCAGGCACAGTGGCTCACACTTGTAATCCCAGCACTTTGGGAGGCCGAGGTGGGTGGATCACTTGAGGCCAGGAATTCGAGACCAGCCCGGCCAACATGATGAAACCCCATCTCTACTAAAAATACAAAAATTAGCTGGGCGTGGTGGCAGATGCCTGTAGTCCCAGCTACTCAGGAGGCTGAAACATGAGAATCTCTTGAACCCGGGAGGCGGAGGTTGCAGTGAGCTGAGGTCACACCACTGCACTCCAGCCTGGGCGACAGAGCGACACTACGTCTCAAAAAAAAAAAAAAAAAAAAGGACCAAAACCACGGGCAGAGAGGAGCGGGTGCCGGTGCCACTGAGGGAGGACCACGGACCTGACCATGACCCAGACAGCAGCTGGGAGGAGGAGCCGAGCCCCCACACAAGGAAACGGCAAATGTGGAGATGGCAGCTGTGCCGTCGCCTGACCTGAGCACGGCACGCCGCACCCCGTGAACAGGGACAGTCCCATTTGTCCATTAAAAAAACAAGCGAGGCTGGGCAGCATAGTGAGACCCCATCTCCACAGAAACAAACAAAAGTAGCTGGGCCGGGTGTGGTGGTGTGTGCCTGCGGTCCCAGCTGCTTGGGAGGCTGAGGTGGGAGGATCGCCTGAGCCCGGGAGGTTGAGGCTGCAGTGAGCCAAGATCACACAACACTTTCCAACCTGGGTAATAGAGAGAGACACTGTCTGAACACATAAAAAGTAAAACGTCAGATGTCGCCATCAAGCCTTCAGTGTGAGTCCTCTCCCTACGTCCTGTTTAGGGCCACCATCCTTGCACCGCGGCTGGGTGTCTGGACCGGAGGCTCACACCCCTCAGTATGGCGCCGCTTCCTGTCCATCCCCATCTCCGCCTGCCCCTCCCCACGACTCAGGTCCGCAGGACAGGGTTTCTGCTCACGGCTGCCTCCCAGTGCTCATAGCGAGGCCCGGCGCACTGTAGGTGCTTGATAAACAGCTGCTGAATGGATGTATTCCCTTTAGGGACTCCATAGCCACTTACGGCCACTCTGTCCCCGGGGCTTTCTGAGGCGTTGGGGAGATTCCACGCGGGAACCTGGTAAGACTGCTGGCGGTCTACAAGGCCTCCCCAAGCCGGGTCCGCGGGTTCCAGCCCCGTCGGTGTGTGCTGAGCTTGCGGGTGGCACCGAGGCCCCTTTCCTGGGTGAATGCAGCCTCAGGTCTCTCGGCCCTCAGGTCCCCCACCATGTCTCTAGAAGGACCAAAGCTACGGGAGAGGCGAGGCTCACGGGTGGTGGGAGTCGGCTGGCTTCCATCATTAGCTAAGGACCTGTCATGGCTGGGGGCTGGGCAGGTTCAGTCTCCAGGCTTGGGCCGCAGACCCCTGAGCTTTCAGGGTGTGTGGACTGCCCCTAACCACACGGGCCCACAGCTTGTGTGACCTGGCTTTTCAGCAGTGCCATTAGCTCAGGAGTGATAAAGTCGGAGAGTGAACCCCCATGCCCTCAGCAACATCCCTTTTCCAATCCCTGCAAAACAGGGAAAGAACAGGACAGCCCCCCGCCCCCAACCCCTACCCTGCACGACTCCTCGGGCAAGTGGCACTGGTGCGCGGCGTCCCCACGCCCGGGGCAGGTCTCTTTTCTGTGTCGGAGTTAATGACCTTGTAATTGTTCACATATTTTGAAGCCAGGGACCAATACATCATCTGACTGGCAGATCTGTCTCCTGCCACGTTCCCTGGGAGACTGATGCTTATACAGAGGGAGAATTTAAAGGCCCTACCATCACAGCCTCAAGGGAAACAGTTTAAACCTTCTATAAATTTCAGATAAATATTGGCAATAAATTCTCCACTCTGTGGGCCAGAGGAGACCAACACCTAAGGATCAGGCAAAATCCTCCTGCGGGAGCCAGAGGCACGCGGCCCACCTCTCAGAGGCTCTCAAGAGGCAGGAGGCCTGGGCCCTCCCCTTGGCCACACTGGAGGAAGATCAGGTGAAGGAGGCCGGAGCCCGGCTTGCACTCTGCGCTGAGAGCAACTGGGACCAAGCTGGACTCACCTTCTGGTGTCAATGTGTGCAGCTCTCCCCACTGAGAGAGGGACGCTATCACCCTAGGCCTTCATCACGATTTGCTTGGACCAACAGAAAGGGGCAGAACCCACCCAGTGCCAAGACCAAGCTGGGCCTCGGGAGACTATGCTCACACTGATCTCTGTCTTGTAACCTGCCCCCTAGCATGAGGATGAGAGACCACGCGGAACAGAGAGAAGCCGCCCAGCTGAGCCCGTTCCTCCCTACCCCAACCAGCCAACCTCGCTCATCTGGCGGCTGAGTGCCGGCATCAGCAAGGCCAGCTGGGAGCAGAGCTGCTCTGTTCCACACAGGCCAACCCACAGAGCTGGGCCAAGGAAATGGTTGTCTTAGGCCGCAACATTTCAGAGTGGATTGTTACACATCCAAGAGCTGACACATCCATGCTGCTTCGGCAGGCACAGCTGGCAAAGACCGTCACTGCTGTGGTTTCCTTGCACGCAGCAGATAGTCAGTCAGTACTAGTTAATGCTAGTTACTAGCCATGCATCCCCACTGCCCAAGACAACCCTAGTTGATACCCCTGACTTGGGGTGATTATTAATAGCACCTCCAGTAACTCTCAGGTGTCCTGGTTTGGGTGACGATGCCTGTGGTCACCCCCATGCTACCTGACCGTCTGGCCCCACAGCCAGGGTGGAAGTCCGAGTGTCAGAGCCATTCAAACCACAGCAACTCCATATTGAACAGGGGCTGGGCAAGACGAGGCTGAGACCCACTGGGCTGCATTCCCAGACGGCGAGGGCATTCTAAGTCACAGGATGAGAGAGGAGGTCGGCACAAGACGCAGGTCACAAAGACCTTGCTGATAAAACAGGTTGCAGTAGGCCGAGCGCGGTGGCTCACGCTTGTAATCCCAGCACTTTGGGAGGCTGAGGCAGGCAGATCATGAGTCAAGAGATTGTGACCATCCTGGCCAACATGGTGAAACGCCGTCTTCACTAAAAAAATAAATAAATAAATACAAAAATTAGCCGGGCGTGGTGGCGTGCACCTGTAGTCCCAGCTACTCGGGAGGCTGAGGCAGGAGAATTGCTTGAACCTGGGAGGCGGAGCTTGCAGTGAGCCGAGAACACGCCACTGCACTCCAGCCTGGGTGACAGAGCGAGACTTCATCTCAAGCAAACAGGTTGAAGGAGCCAAGACCCACCAAAACAAGATGGCGACGAGTGACCTGTGGTCGTCCTCGCAGCACATTATATGCTCACTATAACGCATTAGCTGCTAAAACACTCCCCGCAGCGCCATGACAGTTCACTGATGCCACGGCAACACCGGGAAGTGACCCTACACGGTCTAAAAAAGGTGCAGCCCTCAGTTCCGGGAAATCCCACCCTCTTTCCCAGAAAACTCACCAATATTCCACCCCTTGTTCAGCATATGATCAAGAAATAACCACAGAAGTTAATTAATAACCAACCAGCAGCCCCGGGGGCCACTCGGCCTGTGGAGCAGCCATTCTTCTCTCCACTTCATTTATTTACTTGTCTAATAAACTTGCTTTCACCTTACTCTGTGGACTCGCCCCGAATTCTGCCTCGTATGAGATCCAAGAGCCCTCTCTTGGGGTCTGGATGGGGACCCCTTTCTGGTGACATGAGGAAGACACAGGTGGCTGAGGGGCCGTCACTAACTGCAGAGGCCACAGATGGGAAGACGGCTGACTCCTCCACAGATGGGTGGGGCCCTGGGGCCCCTCATCTGTAGGCCCCGGGCTGGGGCATCACAGCGAGAGGAGAGACAGGAGAGGGGCCCCTGCTGCGCGCGGGCGTCAGGTCAAAAATCCCCCTGTACACTGAGGACTGACGTCGTCTTTGGCAGCGCTGTGGGCCTAGCACAGGGCCTGAGGGCGAGGCCATACCATGAAGTCGGAGCTGTTCTTCTGGCCGAGACAAGCAAAGCAACAGGGCTTGTAGGGTTCTCCTGGGGGCGCTGGGGACACACGGCCTCCCTCGCGAAACTGTCATCTAGAGGGGAGGCCGGCAAGGATCAGACGTCACACTGGTCGTGTGCGGACGCAGTCGGAGGACGGACTGGGGCCGTGGGACTCGGGCAGGAGGTGCGCCCTGGCCGGGGTCGGGGATGGCTTCCCGAATCCCAGCTCTGAGCAGGAGCAGAGATGGATGATGAGTGGGGTTAACTGGCGGTGACATGCAGGCATGCTTGAGGCCCGAGCTCTGTCCTCCTGGGCCATGGGGCAGTGCAGAGCAGGCATGGGCAGGCTGTGCTGCAGTCAGGGACGTAGGGGCTCGGAGAGCGTCCTCAGGACTCCGGCTATGAGGCATTGTGAGATCACCAGGGGCAGGGTGGGTGGGAGGCACTGTTTCACTGTGAGTGAGGCCGGAGCTGTGGCTCCCAACTCCGCTGAGTCACTGGGGTTGCATCCACAAACCACCAATTCCCTGGCCCATGGGCAGCTGGAGGTGGCCGCTGATAGAATCCTGGCCGATGAGGTGGAAGCAGGGGCCTCAGAATGGGGCTCTTGGCAAAGCTGTGACTTATCCCGATTTTTTTTCTTTTCTCAGATGGAGTCTTGCTCTGTCGCCAGGCTGGAGTGCAGTGGTGTGATCTTGGC